CTCTCTCTCTCTCTCTCTCTGGTATCTGCAAGTTCAAATCTGTTACTCCTCCTTTTAAAACAAAGTTCCTGTAATTCTGAACACAATTCAGCCTTTCTCTCTTTGCCAGGGCTGTTAGGAAGGTACTAAGCAATAAATTGCATAAGGTTGCCTTTTGCAGGATCACAGATGATAAGCTGCAAGGCTGAAGGCAAAACCAAATCCTTCCAACCATTCCTGATGTGAGGAGGGATGCACCGCATGCTTTCCCAGCCTATATCTGCTTTTTTTTTTTTTCCCCCTGCCTGTCAGATAGAAGACAAGTCTTTTTTTATACTAAATATTTTGTGCTTTGTGGATTTTATACTTTTTGCTTTTGTGACAAAGTGTGATGAGAAAGATCCCTGTTACTGTTTTGCAGAAAGCAGTCTAGTGGTTATGTATCCATGTGTGTTAATTGATTTCCACTGAAACACAACCTGGGAAAAAAAAAAAACAGTCATGGCTTGGTTTAAAGGGCAAACAGTATTTGTGGGACCCTGATTGTCAGGGGTGAAATGCTGAGCAGTATAACTTACTTTTGCAGCCAGCACATATCTTGTCATTTGGCTCCATACAGGACAGTTGCTGTGAACTCCAGTTGCTGCAATGGCCTTGAGGTTATCAAGGATTTAAGCTGGGCAACTTCTGGCGGATATCTCATATTGTTCATTTGAATGTTTTGTTTAACAATAGGAGTTTGAGATGTAATCCCGTTAATTTTCTGTGGGGCTTTCACAAATGTATTTTTAAAAGGTTCAAAAAATGATTATAGCACCATGTCTTGTTTGGTTTCACAGCAAGAAAAACTGGGTGATATCTGCTTCTCCCTCCGTTATGTGCCTACTGCTGGCAAACTGACTGTCGTCATTCTGGAGGCAAAGAACCTGAAGAAGATGGATGTCGGTGGACTATCAGGTACGTGCATGAAAATCTACTTCTAGATTTTGCAGGCTTGTAAAGGCAGAAAATCAATTCATTTTCTATTGGACATCTCTTGGTTGAGAAGGTAAGGGCTGTTGTTCACTGTCTGAAAACTGCGGTGTGTGTTTTCTGAAAGTTAGGGCATGACTGAGTATGTCAGAACTTGTTCTAGCTTAAAAAAAGGAATTTCATTATACATTGCATTCCACTCCAAGACAAAGTCTGAAGAGTTAAACAGTCAGATGACGGTGCAAGCTCTCTGTACTTTCCTTCTCTCCTGTTGCCTGGAGATAAATACAGACTATTCAGGCAAGAGAAAAAAAATCTGACTACAATTCCTATTGTCTGTTTAATCTCACAAAATGTGAGCATTTCCCTGCAGTGCTACTGATAATACATAATAGAGGAACTCGCCACAGGTCACCATGCTGACTGCTGGCTGAGGTGCTAGGATAATTGTTTCCACATTTGAAGGGCTCAGGTGTGATTGCTCCCATGTGCCAAGTTGGGAGTGCTCTGCATTTGCATGTACACCAGCAATCAAAATGACAGTCTTGCACTTGTGGTAGTCAGTGAGGCTGATATCTCCAACATGCTCAGTACCTACAAATAGTCCTCCTAGTCTTTCCTCATAGTAAGGCTGTACACACCATGAGTGAGATGATGTATGCCATCTCTAAGGGAGGGTGCAGTCAGCACACCTGACATCAGGGCTGGGTCTCTGTGGTAGGGCTGTGTCCCAGAGACCTGGTAGAGCTCCGTGTAGGCTTCTGTTCTCTGCTGTGTCTGGAATTTGGACACAAATTACTAAGTGGCCAATTAGCTGAGGCCAAATTGAATAACAAGATGCTTTATAAGGAGAGGTCTCTCCAGGAGAATTTTATTTTGTATACTTTTTGTTTAAAAGAGACAGTTTCTACCGACCATTGAGAATGAGGATATTTCCAGGCCAGCTCTAGAACTGAAAACTTTTACAGCTGTCACTAACACACAGATGAGGCAATTGCTGATTTTGAATTAGCAAGTGACAAGAAAAAAGTGTTTTGCTTTTATTTTCTTACAATCTTAGCACAAGGTAAGAGTTATATCCAAAATACACAGAGAAATGGGAACCTGCAAAAAGCAAGCCTGAAGTTTTATTTACCACTTTTGATGAACAATAACAGGAGGACCTTCACAAAGTGAGGGGAAACAAAGTCTCTTATCAGTAACCAGTTATCTTTTTTTTTATTTTACTTGCTTCTGAAGTCTTCCCCTGCACCGCAACAGACACAATCAAGTAAAAGACATCAAAATATCGTTGTAGTCATTACCTCAATCAAGTCTAGCTTTTTCTTGCCTAAAATGGACACTGGATTAGGACACACCACTAATAGTTTCCCTAGCGCTTGTACTGAACCAATTGCAAATTAATGTTCTTAAGCACATTTACTTCCTAATTGTTTCCTAATGAAAGATTAGATTCTCATAATGAGGAAGTGTGAGGGTTTTTGACTGAAGTATACCTCTAAGAGCCAGAGCATCTATATTCTTTTCCAAGCTTTGCGAGAAATGTGATGGATAATGGATACTCAGCTCATAAGAAAAGAGAGAAGGGGGCAGGGGAAGCATTAATGAACTGAAAACCTTCTACAAACTTAAGATGGAAAATATAATGCATTGTGTTGGAAATAACTATGAGGAAATGAATGGGCTTACTCTCCTCTGTGTGCTGAAGCACATAGAGGACATTTAAATATATTTCTAGGGGATGACAGGTTTTGTTCTCCTTTTTTAGGGCCATGCCAAACTAGAAACATCATGTTCTCTCTGAGACAAACAAACCCAATGGGATACCGTGGTTGTAGCAGGAATTCAAAAGTCGCTGACGGTGATAAATGGCAGTTAGTGCGGTGTTCCTGAGGCAGTAATTATAGATTAAATACTGTTGGTTTAAAGTGGATCCAGTATCTTTCATTAGGGAATTTATCTTTTGAATAAATTATGCAGAAATAACTTTGAAATCAAGCTGAGATTCTGTTGTCATTATTCACACTAAATAATACCTACTCTCAAAGTACAGTACTGCTAAGTAGTAATGAAGGTGACAGGATTTTATCTCCATTAGCGAACGCTTTCCCCACTAGTTTTATTATTTTCTCTAGATACTAAAATGGCTTTTCGTTTTGCAAAACTGAAAGTTTGGCATTGCACTGGAGGTAGGAAAATGTTAACAATCAAATGTGATCTCAAACTGAATGTTACCTATCTACTCAACAGCACTTACTGTCACCAAGGGAAAGCCATTAGCAAGAGGTGAAAATTATGTGGTTGACACAGATGGGGGAAAAAAATCTTAGAAGTTTGTCAAAAATAGGCAAAAAGTATCTGGTTTTTGAGCTGAGAATATGCCTTTTTCTTATTCTCTCCTATTTTGGAGAAAAAAGAAAAAAAAAAAAAGGAAAAGCAGAAGACAGACATTTGGAAAGTGCTCTGCTTTCTCTTGCATCCAGCCTTTATCCTTCTCTGTGGAGTTCATCTGCCTTGCAGAAAGGAGGAGCAAGGCCCTGGCCCCTGCAGGAGGTCTGACATAGGGCTGTCAAGCATTTGCAGCACAGTGGTGGGCGACCTTGCAGTTTCCTTCTGGCTGCTTCTCTCCGCCTCTTGAGTATTACTGCTGCTAGTAAATATCTGCTATACCTTTGCACCTCAACGATGTGGAAAGCTTTAATATTTATGTTATCTTTAGTCCCAATACAAAGAACCAGCCACTGTGGCTCAGTAGTCTTCTGCGCTTCTATTTAGTAATTTATTAAAAATTGGAATGCATCCATAATTTTGGTCAGTCGGGCTTAAATACATGCTTGATTTTCAACTTGTATATTTTATGTTTTGCCGATATAGAGCCCAGTTAAGAAAGTACCTATCAAAAGCAAGACACTGATCAAAGTAGATTGAAAGTACTACCTTTCCTAGCATTTCTACAGGGTGAAATTCTACTGGTGAAACCTTAATCCTGCTAGTCAGCGTGTATATCCCATTCAATGGTTGCTACAGTTGGAAAAAAAAAAAAAAAAAGCCTTTATCTCCAGTGTTTTGAATTTTTCCATAAATTTTATCAGCAGTCAAAAGCCAAGCACAAATTACTTCGCAAACAGACAGTAAAAGACAACAGACTAATCATCAAATTCATTAGACTCTTTGTAACAAAACCAGATCACCCATCTGAGCAATAAACTCCCAGGTCTTAAACTTAATTGCAACATCAGGCTGTGACTAAAGCAAACCTTGGCTCAAACACTGGAACTGTTCAGGCTGAGCTCATCAAGTCACCACAACAAGTGGAAATTATTACTTCTGGTAAGCAAGGGCCTCTGGCAAACAATTATGCATATTTTAAAATGGAATTTTAATTATTTAAATTATATTCCAATGCATTTTTAATGAATCTGACATCTGGCAGGTGATATGTAGGAATGTAAGCTATAAAGAGATTATTTTTATTTGTCTGAATTTGGTAAACTCAGGTTACATGGCTTTATAGGTATCCTTCACCTAAAACGTCTGTAAGACTTAGAAGCTTAGGTTTTACAGCAAATCAAGGGAACTTAGACTCCCAAGATACTGTGGTTTGTTTGTTTTGGGTTTTTTTTAATTTCATTTAAATGATTTACAAAATTGGAAGATTTCAAAAACAGTTTGCAGTTTAATCTCTCCAAACAAGCCGTAGAGACGTAGTCTGACTAATGCTTCAATAAGGGCACAGTGCAGGCCAGCAATGCTGTTTGGTTCACAAGGATCATCTATGAATTATGATACTTCATTCAGGTTTACAATCCCTTCTGCTGCAGAAAGAGGGCAGGAATTATCTGCAGCTCCCCTATGAGATATTCATTTAAATAAAAGTGGTAGTGATTTCAGATACAGGCTTAAATCAGAATAAAACTTTTATCTTTTAATCCTTATAAATTCATTTTAATCTTGTTTTGTATTTGTATTTTTTACTTATTTTCTAAAGAAAAAATGGTTGTTCAACCCTCAGCACATGTGACTAGCAGCTAAATGTGGTCTGTGCAATAAATATGGTGCTTCTTTTAATTACATGGGAAGATCCCCAATATTAATACACATTTATGCAGGCAGTTCTATAGATTTCCATGTATTTAGTCATACCCTCCATTTGTATTCATTTTTGTTCCTAACATGGAATAAAAGCTTTCATTTCCACTTCCAGCAGCTTTCCCTGCTTTGACCAAGCCAATCGTTGAAATAAATTGCCTGAATACATTGAAAAGCATTTTCCTTCTGAACCTTCAGAAGAGACTGGGACCGGCACCTGAACAGACTGTTGTTATGGGTGTTTAGCTACCCAGGCCCCTCGGCTTAAATGGCTTTTTTAAGAACCTCAGTGGCTGTATGTATTACTGGCAAAATACTGCTTTCTATCGAAAAGTCATCTCTTAGTAGCTGATAATAAGTATAAGCCTTAACATAGCTTATCATCTTTTCAAGATTAATTTCAGTATGGTTTACTCCTTCTAAAAATCCTTGAAAGCTAATATGGTTTTGTTCTCTGTGTATTATTTTAGTATGCTTAGCTTTTAGTCAGTCTATTTACCAGGAATGTATCCTAGTAGCAAGCAATGTACCCACCCTCCCCTTATCTCCTCAGCACTGTGCCTCCCACCACTCCCCCAGGTTGGACCCCGAGTTTCAACAGGGAGGAGATGCCCTAGCTGGCATGAGCTCAGATATTGCCTTGGAACTGAGGCCAAGTAGCAAATATTATAGCAGACCCCGAACTGTACCTATTTAGGCTGAATTAATGCTTAGGAAGAACTGCAAGGAGAAGGGGATTGTGACTGGATCCATGTGCTCTTCCTTCTGCAGAAAACTGCAGATACAGCCGTGAAGAGAAAGCAGCCAGTAATCCAGTCCGTTATGTGTGAAAGCTAATCTCAATATTTATGAGTTATAAATAGAAAATACACAGCACCTCTTTGTATCTGCCAAGG